GACTTGGAACTACACCGCTAGATGTCATTAAATCTTACAAGCTGGACCTTTAAAGACTTTTATTAACTTGATGAGGATTGCTTATGAACATGATTTTAAACTGGTGACATGTTACAGAGGCCTGCTAAAGAAAATGATGCATTACTTCTCTTTCATTAAATACAATGGATTTCCACACTGTGGCTGTTAATGGATGGTGACTTGTTGGGCTTTTTATGCAGATTTCACCCTTTACAAATCCCAAATAGGTCTATTTGGATTTCTGTTTCCATTCTGTTTCTTTTGGAGTCATGTAAAATATAAAACATGACATATTTACTTTTTTGGTGCAATAACAATGATATGATACCTATATTTGTCAGCAAGATTTATTAAGAAGAGACATGTGTCCTCAAATTGTCCCAATTTATTCATTCTGAACAATGATTCATCTCTCGATTTCTCAACCTGGCAGAAGAAAAATATTTGATGGCTGTTGTCACAGCTGCTAAAAATGCTGGTAATGTGTTGGCGAGCTCTCCAGGGTAACAATATTACATAGTCTAGAAAACACAAGGAAACTCTTGAGGCCTGGTATTCGACAGCTTCACAGACTAAACGAATATGATGTGATTTTGTATTAGCACGTAATTATGATAATGTTTGTTTGTCTTCCTTATTCTGTCTCTGTTTGAATATGTTGCAAGTGTTGTATTGTATATACATATGTATGTATATATATACATATGTATGTATGTATGTATGTATGTACAGTATGTATATATAGGTATGTATACCTATATATACATACCTATATATACATATTATTATTATTCAGAATCAGAATCAGAAATACTTTAATAATCCCAGGGGGAAAATTATTTTTTTCGTTTACAAGACTCCAGGTATTACAAAAAAACATAATTTATACAAAGCACATCTATTTAAGGAACAAAAATAACAAGTATATTTATATTAAAAACTCATACTATCATTATATAAAATATACTAATATAAATGGATCAAAAGATCAAATTTACAGTTTAATATATAAAAGATCAAACTTTGGATCCTAGATTACCCACAATTCTACCAGTAGCATATTTTCATTAGATGCTCCCTGTCTCTAGCGCAAGCTAAGATCACCCTGATGACATCAATAATAATTGATTTTGCTCGAGTACTAACTATCAATATTCCATCAATTCATTGTAAATTTGATTGAATGCCCCTTTAACTGTTAACCTTGGTGAAACATTTAAATCTGAATTAAAGCTTTCACTATTGCTACTACTATTTTCCTTTGTGTCTTATCTACATTTTTTTGTCATATTGAATTTATTTATATAAGGGGAAAAAAAATAATAATTTAGGTTTAAAATAATAAAAAGATTTTCTTTTTTTGCCCATGTCCCCTTAGTGACTCCGTAGTTATATGTACATGTAATTCTTCATGAAATGGATTCTGTTTGATTCCAGTACAGTAAGTATTAGTATATACTACTTATAGGGACGGGGCTCTGTTGGAAAAAACACATCCAACTGTATCTGTGATTTGTTACATTTTGTGTGACTTTAAATACCAATAAAAAAGACCCTGCAAAAAAGAATATGCTTTACATATTGAAAAAAAACAAGAAAAATCTTAATCTTATATTATGTGAGTTTCAACTGTTCTTTAATATTCAAGATAAGCAGAGATAAATGATGCATTCCTAGAACTTCCTAAAAACATTCTAGGTAATCAGTGTTTATCAGCTTGCAGAACAAATGAATAGGCTGGTACACTTATAATGTGTCTACGGTGTGTCTGTGTGTGTGTGTGAGAGAGAGATTCTGACCACGCGGCTGCAGAAGGCACTGGTCCTGGGCTGGATGTGATTGGACGGCTGGTCCTCCTCCTCCGACTCGGCGGTGAGCGTGTGCAGAGACACGGAGCTGCGGTTGCAGCTGAGGGAGCGACAGCTGAGAGATTTACGGCTGCAGGCCGACTTCAGAGTCACAGAATGACCGGCTGCATCGTTCCTCTCCGCCTCGTACACCTCCAGCCTCCGAGCTGACACACACACACACACACACACACACACACACATATATATATATTGGGTGTCTGCCAATACAGACACACTGTACTTACATAAACTTATCTGCAATGCTAAAAAAACATACTGACTTTTCTGGGTTCCAAACTATTATGTTGATTAAATTATTGAGAGCTTTTCAAAGTGTGAGCTGCCTCCCACAACGGAGTGAGAGACGTGAGTCATAGATACCGTGTAAGGTGTTCTAAAAACAACAAGAAGTTAGGTATAGTAGTAAGACTCACTGATCAATGAGAATGGCTCCCTCAGCACCCGATTGCAACAATATGTGTCAAAATTCATACCAACTCTGAAAACACAGACATGATGCACATATTTTGTGCAGGATAGGGATGACAACATCTCTATTCCGCACACGCCGCAATGATCAAAGCCCTTCTTTCTGGCTGCTCACCACACTGCCTGTGGGAACACCAGTTTTTGAATTTGGCTGTATTAAAAACATCTCATTGTTCTTGCTGGACCTCCGCTCTAATTCAGTGAGTATTCTATCTCTGATGGAGGTAAATGAAAGCAGTCTAGCAGTCACATTATCAGCTCTTACCATTCTCCTCATGAGGATATTCAACCCCGTAGATACTGCAGCGGCGGAACACCATCTTGTTCTCTGTCAGAGTTCCCGTCTTATCAGAGAACAGGTACTGGATCTGACCCAGGTCCTCGGTGATGTTGAGGGCCCGGCACTGGATCCTGGAGTCCAGCTGCTCGTTGTACAGGGCCAAGTCGTTGTGGATGAAGTAGATCTGGCCCAGTTTCACAATCTCAATGGACACGTACAGAGAAATGGGGATCAGCACCTGTTGGATAAAACATTGATTACATCTCCTGCGTGATGTGTTTATTGACATGACAAATACTGCAGTTGTAAAACTGTAAACCGACCAAGTCATCAAAAACTTTGACTGGAATTGAGTCAGTCCACATCTCTGGTTAACACTTTACCTGCAGCACAATGATCATAGTCCAGAAAACGTAGAATCCAGCCAGGGCAGGAGACGTCTCCCCGTCAACCTCAAAGACCGGGTTTTTGAGGTTTTTCAGCCAGAGGCCGTGACCTGAAAGACACCAGAGCAGCTTATCACATTGCACACACTAGGTTACCATGGGAATACTGGCTCTCCAGAGGTCTAAATGTAATATTACACAGTCAGCTGTACACTGCGATAATCCTGCTGCTGTTCTGCGCTGTGAGACCACAGCTGTGCGGGTACACACCTATAGCACCAGTCAGACACATGATGATGAGCAGCAGCACGCACCACAGGACGTCTGTGTTCAGACGCCTCTCCAGGTGGCTGCGCTTGTACCTCGGCCCACTGTTGTTCATCATGGCTTTAGTCTCGTGACCTGAGTCAGGAAGAGGAGAACAGACCACAGCCACGCTCAGTTACACAGAGCATTACACTGCAGGAGGTACATTAGCAAAACTGAAGAATTTAGCAGGAGTTTACATCATAAAGCTTCACTCTAGTTCATAGTTTCATCACTTTTATAGTTCGACATAGCATGCTTTACAGCTCCACTTTACAATGATCTCAAATTCTGTTTTATCGTTTCGCAAAAAAAGGATTCTTTCACTCCTAAAGTGTTGGATTAAACTCTGGTTCTGGTTTCAAACTAACTCTGGTGTGTTTGCCCGTTTGATTCAGTTTGTTTAGGTGTGAAAGGTGGCAATCAAATTCTAGCGCCAACCAAACAACCAAACCAAGAAGGTCCAGCATCGGCATATAGAAGCAAATAACAAGCACAAAGATTTGAAACACATAAAACAAAGTCGAAACATAAATATACAATTAAAAAAGTGGAGAGGCACAATTCCAGATTAATGAGGTGAAGATTTTCTGTGAACTGGTAAATGTAAATGACTTCCAGCCTGTAATACTGTGGGCAGTGACTACAAAACAGAGACATATATACATATATAGTATACAGAGTGAGTGGGACAAAGAAAGATCTTTGAGTTAAAGTGAGTGAAGTTTATGAAATTGCCATCAAAGGCGTTGGCAAGAATAGCGTGCATGCCTGTATCTTTATTTAATTAGTGAGTAATCACCCTCATGCATGAATCATACATCAATAATATCCTAATTTTACACATGCCATGAATAGAAATGCATGGCAAAAATAACATAAGTCTATATTTTAGAACCCCCTTCCCAATATTTCCCAAACCATGTTTTCGGGGGAGCTCATTTCATATTAAGAAGAGCCAAGCTCTCCCTGGCTCCCCTGTAGTTCGCAGCCTGGTCTTTCCCAGCAGACAGAGAATGACATGACTGAAGGATGGGTGTCATGTTCAGACTGTGTACTACACTCATGGCAGGCATCCCTCCTTTGTGGATAGAATGAGAATTGTAACAATACCTGCATACCGTTCTGTGCTGGTGGTAGGGGTGGAAGCCTGCTCCCACTCACCTGACTGGTTCCACTTCTTTATTTCTACTCAGAACAGACACAATGGAGCTAGGTTTTTTTTTTTTTTTTGTCAGTGTGCGACATAATCAGATAATCGTTTTCCTGTTCTCCCTCTCAGTCACCTTGACTGGCTGCTACAAGCATATAAGCTGGAAGCCATTAGAGTTATACATGTAAGTTCATAAGAGAGAGAGAAGGGGTGGACAGTAGCATAGGAACATGCAATACAAGATTTCTGGGGTTTGGAGTTGGAGGTCACATGTGGGGTATTTCAGGTATTTTAGAGAAAGCACCATGACATGATAAAGCATACTGATGGAGATCAGAAGATTCAATCTCTCTCAAACTCATCACCAACTGTTTGGATTATAACAGAACACATGTTCATTCAGAACACGTTGCAGTCAGAATGAGATCGGGTCAGCCAGACTACATCTGGAGGTGGTCTCTTGCACACTGCGATCACATCTCTGCCATGTGTAAGACATTTGCACAGTGTGACCACATTCTTTAGGTTAAATTTAAAGGTCACATAATTCCACCTCCTGCTAGTAGCTCAAGCTGCTCGTCCAAAAGCTGCCGAGAAGCCCTCTCTTACTGGCTCTAGATATGGGCATTTGTTGAGCATTTTGAGGCCACCATAGTTTCTCCTCCGTGCTTGGAAAGTGAGCAGTATTGGTTGCAGTCTGCAACTGGATTTGTTTTCACACCACAAACCAGACCATGACCCACCTTTTCAGGCAGTCTGTTTAGTCCACGGCAGAGTTGGATTGGCAGCTCTCACATCAGCCCACATAAACCACGTGTTCATATGAACAGAACCAATGAGCAGGCCAGAAGCACTGCCATTTGTCTGATCTTTTGGAAGTGATGCTGTGCTCTTACCAGCGTAGACCACGATGCCCACTACAGTCTCAGTGTTGCGGATGGTGCAGCTCCTCAGCAGGAGGTTGTTGTTATGGAGGCCGACACGAACCCCGTTGGGGTGCTCCCTGTGGGACAACATGCAGACAAACAACAGGCCGGAGCTCAGGCTCAGCTGTACAACAGGATCCAGGTTTACTGTTGCTAAATGTTTTAACAAATTGTTGTCCAACATCACTAAAACCACAGACTACTGTTATTAATCCAGACTAGGAGGCTACTGCAGCATTTCCACTGGAAACATGTCAAGATGTTGTCCTAATGCGGTAGCCACACAGCAGTACAGAATAAGGCACAATTTTACAGTAATAATACACACTGATCCCATATATTTACCTCTTTACACTGTGTTCTTAAGTGTACATAGACAATGTGTTTGATCACTGTAAGATGAAAAGGGAACTCACATGTAACCTCTGAACCTGCTGAGGTCATTGTTGGGGTTCTCACACTCAATACGACTGTTGAAGCTCTCAAGGTTCAACTCTGCTCCCTGGAAAACACACACACAAACACCAATTCATTCCAACCTGCAGATGAATACACATATGGACAAACAGATATGAGATAATACAACCCCACCTGGAGTGCTGTCTTTTCCACTTTCCATGTTTTACTAGCTGTTCTTTTATGGCAGAGCAGGGAAGTTCAAATAAAACATGTTTATCAGAATGAAGCAACCAGAGGCAGACAGCTGTTTTATCTGGCAAAGAGAGCCAACTGCCTTCTTGTTGTTGAATTGTGTTCATTTCTTTCTTCTTCTGAGTGTGTATTCTGCAGCTGCCTTTAATTAGAAGCCAATTAGCTTCTCTTACGGCTAATAAAGCAGTGCTTTATTCATTCGTGCTTTTACACCTGGAGTGAGACAGCCCTGATCCAAGTCCTTTAATACGGAGGACATTTTCCTAGATAACACAGCTGCCCAGGGCACACTTTGCCTAAAATAGACCTTTATTCAAATCAGGAATATTATTGGTCCATTAATGTAAATGAAGTGTATAATACAGTCTAAAACAACACCACCATAAAATCCAGCCTCGAGAACTAATTCAGAAGACAGACACATCCAAACATGAGTGGGAACAAATAGGCTGGATTCTGCTGGCCAAGCTCCTCATCACTTTTAAACAGACAACTTCTATCTTTATCAAGGAAGAAGATATGGTGGATTTCGACCACACAATACTTGGTGGCTACCAATAACAACTGGCCATTAAAAGAGAACAAAGTGTGTTTCCAGGTGTTGGGAAGTATTGCTACATGGCAAAAGTTGTATAAAGCATTTGGAGTCTCCAGAGGGAGTTGTGAGTAATCTGATAAATTGCCTCAAGTGATCTCGTCAGCTTCAGTTGGGGCTGAAAAAATCTGGGGATGTGGATTTAGAAAGAAGTACCAGATCTCTGAAGCCCTCTCCACATATCTGGTTGAGGCCAGCAGCTTGAGGCTACATTAGCCACTACTAGCATATCACACAGATACAGAAACATAGATACCTTATTGCCTGCTGCTGTATGCCACCGCTATGCGTCTGAGCAGTCCCCATATTGCAGAGGTCAAAATCCGCTGGTTAACAATACTGAGAGATGCACACTTCTATACCCAATCAACTGTAACTTGATTCATTCTGAATCTATTATCATGAGATTTGGTTCGTTGTAAGTTCCGAACGATTTAAACGATATTTAGTTAAAAAAAACTATACGTTTATAATGCACGTCAAATCGAGAATGCGGTAACTACGTATCTATGGCATAACACACCGGAATTTCTGACTTGACTCTCGGTGGTCAAGTTGCATTGTGGGTAATATAGGTGCCAGGTTGACAAAAAACATATAAATTACATTAGCTGTAGAACAACTTGATCTTACCTTTTATCTTAATTGTTTTACCATTAATAGGATGGTTAAAAATATTGCTCTTTGTTGTAAAATTACTAAATTAAAGGGAGCATTCTAAACTGCTGCAAGTCCTTTGCGAGCAGGAACCTTAGTCTATAGAGGGGGACAGATGCATCTTAGACCTATGAATCTACTCAATGTATTACCTGCAGTGGGAGGTCTAAAACGACCTGTCTCTGTTTCAGGTTGGTCTCTCCGTCCAGGTTGGCGGTCTCAATGTAACAAACCCCACGAGGGTCAGATGAATACAGCAGCAGCATGTCAGCAGGGATGATTTCATTACAGGACAGACGGACCAAGTCTCCAACTCGCACATCCTTCCAGCACTGGTCAATGTAGGCTTTCTGCTTGCTATGGGATAACACAGAAGAGACAGAAAATTGAAAAAACATCTCAGGCAAATTAAATGTGAAAAGACACATTTTTGGTGAACTTGAGGTCAGAGTGTAAAATAATACAATGACATGACAAAAAGTATGTATAGAGTATTTTACACTGCATTGTGCATTGTGAGGCATTTCTAGCAATCAAGGCACAGAGAGATCCCTGTCAGTGGTGAAAATAAACATTTACTTAAGTACTGTACTTTTTTGAGGTATTTACTTGAGCATTTACATTTCATTAATTTAATTGCGTTAGGCCCTAAGAGGTAAAAAAATATATCCAATATTTCACAAAAGGCAAGTATAAGACAAAAATTATGGAATGAGCCCAGTGGAAGCATACACCGCCATGTTAACCAGATAATCAGTTTTATTCACTTCATCAGTCAGTGCTCACAATGTTATGGCTGACCAGTGTACATACAATGGAAATAAAATAGGGCCTAAGATGGAGCCTTGGGGTTAAACACAGGAAGAAAAGAAGAAAAAATTTCAATCATAGATGAAACTGATCTTTACTGCAGATACGAATGAATCCACTGGAAGATGTCCAAGATATGCATCGGTCATATCAAATGGCACAGAGAGGTTTAAAACAAATTTAAAATGGTGATTTTCAGAGTCTAAAGAATTTTTTTCCCAGGCCTTGTTGAGGTGAAATCTGTTGCCTAAATGTTGGCAGAACTGTGGTATCACAGTTTCTGTCTCAAGGATATCCAGGATTGCATTATGACAAGAATGAAGAAAGTGCAGAGAATAACTCCTGTTTTATGATCCTGACCCTGATGCTGTAACCTGATTACACATCTACATGTTTTAACATCCACCAATAACATAGTACACAGGTATGCAGAGGTGGAACACAGAAAGCATTTGGTACAGTAAAAAACTAAACCAAAGGACCTCTAAATGCTTTTTGTGCTGATCTACACACTCACATAAACCCAGCATGTGCTACTCAAATTTAAAACATCACATTCTACAGCTGCTCTGCTTATTGATGATTTGGCTCCAGCTGATTGCAACCAACAGTTTTAATCAGCTACTGATCACACAGAACCACATTATTTTGTCCCAAGAACACAGTTTTGATATCTTCTTGTCAGTGACCAACAATTTGGGGGTCAACGATGTACAACAAACTTCAGGACTAATTCATTCCCTCAGGTGAAATAAAGCAGAAAGACAGCAGGAGGTGAACATATTAATTATATTAAGGCTATATTGTATAACCTTTAATTAGGCTTCTGACCATGGAAACAATGTCAGCTTTTAAAAAATACATTGTACTGTATATGTGGTATTTGCTGACAGAGGGCCTGCATTGTTCTTGCAGAGAGAAGAGAGAGAAAGAAAAAAACTTCCCTTTGATTGACTGGTATTATTTACATGTTGGCTGAATACAATCAGTGGTTAATAATTACACTTACAGTCCACCCTTTCCAGGCAATGACTGGAATACAGCAGGACAGAGCCAAGGCATTACTGTACAGTTACGTACAATGTGAAGTCATGAGGTTATCCAAAATAAACTACTCCTGTTTAACTGCAATCCAAATATAGCACTGACTTAATGTTCAAAAAGTTACCACAGATAGATGAATTCATGAAAATGAAAAAGCAGGATCTAATAATAATGTTTTGCTAGATCAGAATCCAGCTTTTAGTAAGTAACGTGTTGAATATTTGTTATGTGATCTCTTTACAACTGAGCAGGGTTTGTTACCATTTTAAATTATATTTAGTTTTTTTAGCTCCAATTATGTTTTATGTGGTGTGGATGTGCGGGATGATTTAAGAAGTTTAAAGTGTATCTTTACTTGTTTAAACTGTTATTTAACTTAGCTGCATATTTGTGCACATGTGTAATGATTAAATTGTCAGGAACCTGATTTATATATTTTTTCTAAAGGTGAAATGTTTAATGAAAGGATTTGGGCTTTATACAAAATTCATGGCAATTAAGACAGAGAGCACTGGATCCAACATAATAGTGACAGAACCAATGTCACCAACCAATGACATTACAACAATACATTACACAGGTTTCCTCAAGACCTTCGTCATACTTTCTGTCAACAACGCCTTCATTATGTGCTCCAGTTGAGAAGTTGTTGGAAAGGGTTTGTCAAGTAGAAGTACATATTCCGTTGCAAGAAGTGAAGCACAATCCCTGTCCCTGTAAAAGGTTCATTGACTGATTGATTGGTTGTTAAACTTTGTTGTCGAAGAGCAGCCTTACTGAAAGTCTTGACCTTAATTTTCTTTGACCATCTTTGACCACGTATGCTATAGCAAAGATGACGAAAGTAATCATCCCTGTAACTTGTAGTTTTTGTTAATGGAGATGTAGTACAACTTGAGGTTCAGATTTTTTTTTGTCAAAAGTTTTGTTCTCATTTTCATTCATCTATTCTTGTTTCTATTAATATCACTTGTGCCAACTACAGGTAACTTTAAACATACAATGAGTTTTTTAACTGGTTATGAAACAGTCTCACTTTAATACTAATGCATTTATATAACCTACATAAACAAGACCATCAGCAAGAAGAGTGGTTGAATTCGGTCAGATTCCTATGAATCAGACGAAACAAGTTGGTGGAAACACAAAAGGCTGCCCAAAATAAACAAAAAAAGTTCCTTCTTGGGGCTTTAAGGAGAATATACAGGTCCTTAAAAACAAGACATCTTAGATATTGGTTGTTGTCACATCAAACCGACTGAGAGCAACATTTAACACACCTGCTGTAAACTTGGCAGACAAGCCTGTTGATAAAATGATCCGACTTGAACCTGCGGTAGTCTTCCCAGATATCCTTGACAGCCATCACTGTCAGCACTAGTATGATAGGAACCAGAGCGATCTCTGGCTGGAAGGCCTCCACCACAGGAAAAAAGTTGAGAGCAGCAAGAAAGATGAAGTAGACATTGGCAAAGCGATGGAGCTGTTCAAATAGATTCTTAGGAAGGAAGGAGAGGAGAGAATACTTTGTGGTTCGGATCTTGTTGTTTTTATACAACTTCAGGAGTTGACTCAGTTCTTCATTCTCTGTGGAGGAAGGAACCACTGTCCTCTTCTTCCGCAGGTGCTCCTTGGTTGAACGAAGACGAGACGGACGTTTTAAGCTAAACATGAGTCCATTGCTTCAGTGGTTTCAGATCCGTCTGCCGGTTTTTATCTCCCAAAAGAAGTCCTACCTACCTGCAACTGTTCTCCGGTTGTAATTTCACTTCAGTGCTCATGCTGTCCTTAATTGTAACTATTCTAATGTGGAGTCTTTTGCTCTGTCCCGAAAGGCATGGACACCACAGACGAAGTTGGAATGGGAGGGATGAGTGGATAACTGACTACCTAGGTGAAGGAATTCATTGCCACTCCTCTAAAGGGCACTCACGCTGTGAACAAACTCAAGGTTCAACTTTTACAACTGGCTCAAAAGACTGATTGTGTACTCAGGTATATGAAGAAAGTAGGGTGACCGAGCAGCAGTAAGAATTATGATTATTGATTTTCAGACAATCCTTAAAAAACAGAGCAGTGGACAGATTCATATATCAATTAGTCAACTGGAATGGTATGGTTTAATAAACCTCAGTTAAAAAAGTCTTCCTGATAATATGATATTACTGTACATTCTAATGTACTGAAATTATGGCTCTTACAACTGACAAATTTGACATAAACACACCAAAACAAGCACCAAATGGTTATGCTGAGGCAAAGTAGATGGTATAGAAATATTCCATCCCTCGTCTGACTCCTAAAAGCTAAGTATTTCCACTCCTAAACAGTTTTGTTAAATGAGTTTTGGAAGAAACATAACGGCTGCCTGGATTACTGGCATCATTATTCCAGTCCAGGAAGCATTTCATTCTTATACCACACAGTCATAGATGGGGCGGTCAGGGTGGATAGGTGGGTGAAAAAGCATTACAGTTGTTCTGATAATCATAGAAATTCCTGCAATACTGCCTAAAATGTGGTATTGGGGTGTCGGCGAGGATGCATCTGTGCACCGATCACATACTACGTAATTTATGAGACCTACTGTTTTTCTTAAGGAATAGCAAAAGTCTGACCTGCCCTACTCGGACTCTGATTCTAACAAAGGGTTTTAACCTGATCCAGACCTCACAACAATGATAGCAATTATACAGGCTTAGCAGTATATGCCTGTTGGGCAAGGGAAGGAAAAAAATGGTATCGGAACATATCTAAAAAGCATAGCTAGGGTTTGCCTCTAATGTTCCATGTGTCGTTAGGGTTAGGTTACTAAAACGTTTTTTGGTTACGGATAGATGGTGATTTTGGTTAGATATTGTGAAAAGTAAACTTATCCATAACTTATAAACCACCATCTTTTCCTGACAATAACATAGAGAGAGTAAGGGTAGAGGTAGAGTGAGCCTCTAATCAGAAGATTGGCAGTTCAATCCCCAGCTCTCTCCAATCCGCATGTCAAAGTGTCTTTGGGCAAGATGCTGAATAGCTCCCAAAGGTTGTGCTATTGGTGTGTGGGTGTGTATGAATCAGCATTAGTTACTTTCTGATGAGCAGTTGGCACCTTGGATGGCAGCCTCTGCCATCAGTGTGTGAATTTGTGAATGTGACATGTAAAGCTATATAAACAAAGTCCATTTACCATTTAACTAAGTGACTTGCCTAAAAGGAACCATAAAATATTTATCATTTAGTTGCCACAAATATTTCAGACAAATCGGTTTACAGTGAACGTTTTACAGATACATTCATTCAAAACATTTATAATGTTGATAAAAAAAGAAGGAAAACAATCCAGGCAGCATTGCATTCCTTCTAAAACATACAGTATATATGCATATGAATATATCATTAAGGAGACAGGGTAAAGTGACAAGACTATTCTCACCAGAAAAAACGTGCATTAATCATTATTTCAAATGCCTAAAACAACCTATTTTCCAAACCTATCAGGAAGGAGGTTAGGGCTGCTGTGGTCTTAAGGTGTGTGACTTTGACACAAGAGACAGTTGTTTGTTTCTATTTTACTGACTGTAACCAAACAGGTCTTTTAACTGTGGCCACAATCATAACCACAATCTTAAAAGTAGTCTTTGTGCCAAAACTACACATTAGTGGTGACAGATCAGAAAACGCTTGCAGGAATCTTTCTTTGTAGCGGTCATTTCTAACAGGTTTGGAAACCAATGAAACAATGTCCTGTTTATAGGGAAGCAAGTCAGGTGGCTTGTTGTGGTTGGCAGTTACAAAAGATCTGTATTGTTGTTTAGCTTTGCTGTTAAGCTTCTAGTTAAACTACAATCACCAGCAGCGTTCAAGTAGTGTAGCCATTATTAAAATCCAGTTCCTGCTCCAATGACAAGCTATTTATTCCTCCAAATAGCAGGGTAGTGTAGCTAAACACTACATTGTGACATTTTATTTCCTCTTGAGCTAAGCAATGATGAAGCATCTTGGGTTCTGTTGCTCGACCTGTGCCCTGCCGTCTGATTTAGGATAGAATCAAGGAAGCATGGAACTGTAATTTGTTCATTCTACTACCAACTTAAAGCTGCAGTAGGTAACTTTTATAAAAATAACTTTTTGTCATATTTTCTCATTCTAGTGCTCCTACTAGTATTTGCAGGAATCCACCAGGCCTGGATAAAAACAAAATCACAAGGTAGCCCTAAAGCATACCCTGCTGTATAGTCTATTTTTTTCTAAATGGGACCATAATTTACTAAATGAACATTATGTTGTATGGAAGAAGACTGAAACTAGAGATTGAGACCATAAACTCATTAGGAAACGGTTTACTGAGCTCATAAATCAAGAAAGAAGTCAGCTCTTTTTCTTATAAACTTACATACACTGACTTATTTTTACAGCCAGTCGAGTGAGTTCCCCCTCTGTAGGCCATTAGAAAGAATGCAGGTTTAAAACACTTCCACATTGGCTTAACTTTTCTGGAAATTCAGTACAATAATATATATGGCCAGTGTTTTACCACACTGAATAACTGAGAGAGGTTTTTGAGCATCTTACAAGATCTTAATCTTAATCATGTAATCTGTAAGGTACTGTTCTGTCCATTTGAAGAGGAAATGTGTAGAGGCTGAATATGCCAGAAAGAGAAGCCTGCCAAAATAATGAATCTAAGTTCAGTTCCTTCTCCTGCTCACTCTGCCTGTCATGCATCTTTTTCTCATTGTTCTTTTTTGTTTTGTTTTTTTGCACTAGTCATGAAGTCACTACATAACTGAAATTACCATCTAAAGCACTGATATCGACAAGCAGTGCTTGTGTGCAGTTTGAATGCATGAGACAAGTTGTTGCAGTCTTGAGGCTCGTGCTTGACTGGTCAGTACTGCAAACTCAACCTTCTAAATCCTACGGGGACTTATGGCCCTATAATTCTTGGGTATGCTCTAGGAACTAGTGGTATGTGGTCATGCAGATAGTTTGGATTTTATTTTTGTCCAGGTTTTGAGATATCTGTCTGAGGTTTTGAGCTTCTACTCCCATACAATGGTAGGAATATTCTCAGTATAGAGCCCTACATTGTTGCTGTTGCGTGCTAGGAAAGTGGGGATGTTGCTTTGTCATTAGCTTCGTTTTGGTTGGCAAATTGAAAAATGATGTCTGGAACTGCTGTGTACTGGACCAATCACCTAAGCCATTAGAGGTCATCATATCTGAGCTTTAACTTAGACCTGCTGCATACATGGTTTTACTGAGGTTTCAGGACATAGACTTCAGTATAAGGTCGGATTTCTACAACCATTCATTTGATTAATTTCTGAAAAAGTATCGCTAATGCAGTAAAGAGCAGAGTTGTGGGAGCAACATTTTCTATAATATGATGTACGTTAGCTCATCCATTACATCTATTACAGAGCTAATAAGAAAAGTCCATCATATATCAAGTTTAGCTGTGGTTCAGATGAGCATGTTCGCAGTTTAACACTCAGATTTCAACTTAGCATGCAGCTGTAAACTCATAAGTTCCGATGCTAAGCTAGTCAGGTGCTCCGTGACACAGTAACGGTACCAGTAGGTATTGTTTCATGGCTCCAAATGCCTTGGCAGCTTTAGTAAAGGATTCAATCACCTAAGAAACAATCAAAATATAACCCTATATGAAATCGGTCGGGCAATAGGGTCAGAAATACACTTGCCAATCATACTTGCCCCTATTATTTATGAGCAGCTATCAAATAGCAACAAAAACTAAGTTAGCTGTCAGCTCTTGTTATGGCAATACAGCTTATATACAGTAATACAGTACCTTTGAAACAGCAATCCAGATTAAGTTACGCTAACATCCTCTATTGCCAACCGTAACCCTAACCCAACTGAGCTTCTGTTTCCAGGATAATTGAAATGCTCACTTGCATTTCAGCTCATAAACTTTGTCTTGCTACCATTTTTTCAAACGCCCGATCATACTCAATGGTCTTACATACCAGTTTATAGTCCAAGGGCCCTATCTTGCCGATCTGAAACACAAGTGTCAAGCAAAACGCAAGTACCTTTGTGGGCGGTCTCCGGGTGCTGTTGCTATTAATGCCAGCGGGTTAAATGAACTTTGCGCCCGGCGCAAATCTAAAATGGGTTGGTCTGAAGTAGCTACATTACTCATGGGTGTGGTTTTGGCGTAACGCACAATACAACCAATCAGAGCGTCATCTCACATTCCCATTTAAAAGCAGGCGCGCTTGTTCCATGCGGAATGCTATTATAATGGCGGATTTTGCCATGGTGCAACAGCCAGAGCGCTCCAGCCGAGGAGACCGACGTTCTCCGTCAGGCCGTAAAAGACCGAGAAGTGGACATTATTGACATGAAATAAATGTAACACCCATTACAAAAATCAAAACAATGTAGCAGCTTCGCAGGAAAAGACCCTGGCCTCGGGAGCAGTGCGCACCGGCCAGCAGTGCGCAAAGGGCCAGCTGAGGAGGAGCAGCGCAAACACCTAATGGTGCAGAGGATCCAGACCCACTACAGTGACGAGTGGGACCACGCCGTTCGCTGCAGAAACGGTTTTGGACGATGCTGGAGCGGGGAGCTGGTCCGGCGATGTTTGCGTGGCTCATCAGGCGCATCCACTCAAGTCTGCGCCCCTTAAAATAGCCATCTGAATAAGCCCCACTGACTTTAGACTAGGTTTTTCCTGGTCTGTGGCGGAATGTTCTGCAAACAGTAAAACAGCACAGGGAACGTTTGCGCCGGAACAACGCCTCCCTCTTTTCGCTGAACGCCCCCGGAGCGCAACTCTTCCCTAAATTTAAGGACTGCGCGGTGGAGGGAAAATTCCAATGTGCAGTCGATGCAAAAATAGTAAACTTATACAAGCGCCAGTGTACAAAGTCAATTGCGCTGTAGTGCAAATAGAGCCCATAGTGTCTCATAGCCATTCAGAAAGGTTAGAGGTTCACTCACCCACAGAACACTTGCACTACGTTGTTGTTGACCTTCTTGTCGAACAGGTAGCGTCTGTAATCTTCCAGGGCATCTTTGATGGCGATAACAGTGAGAACCACCAGCAGAGGAATCATGGTAATTTCCTTCTGAAAGGCTTCAACAACTGGCACCCAGTTCAGTAACGCCAGAAACAGGAAGTACAGGTTGGCAGCCCTACAAAGAAAGGCCCAAAGCTGCAAATTAGTAAATGCACAAAAGAGGCTGTGGAAGTGCAACCAAGTGCTACCAGACCATTTCCAATGGTGTACTAGCAGAGCAGAATGCATCTCTTGTCTGTCGGTTGGTCAGTCAACCACTCTGGATCGAACTGAAATATCTCAGCAGCTGTTAAATGGATGGCCTTCTCCCAAGTGACAGCACAGACAGTTTATACAAGCATACTGGGTAATTCAATTGTCATTTTACAGCGCAGGGTTGTATAAAGAAATTCAGATTCTCTATAGGATTGTCATCATTTCCACTCATTTAAGAGACCAAAACTAAACCAATGTGCAACAAATTCTGGGACAGTGAATACCTAAAAGAATACAATGGCTGTGTAAATGTTGATAAAAGCTGCATGTGGTGAATTTGATCTTGAAATGAGGACAAAGGCAGAGAAAGTCACACGTGAAATGGGACACAATTTCAGTTCGTTTAGGGTTGTTTTGCAGCACTAAATGTCTGAACTGTGGGTCCATTCAATTGGAAAGAAACAAAATGAACGATTTCATTCTCATTCAGATGTTTAACCTGCATCATTATAATCTACAGCGACTTGGAACATGATGAACCTGGGAACGTGGGAAATCAAAAGGCTGCCTAGAGGAACACATTCCAACATGCAGAACACTGCATTCTTTGGAAAGTAGTTAGTATATACGAAAACTGTATGCTTCCTAAATGGCCTAAAACTTGCAGGGTTAGGGTTTAGGGGTTAAATCAAGGGTTTCAATTTAAATAAGCTTTATCAAAGTTAGATGGTTTCCTGCATAATGGAAAATGAAATTAAAATGTATTTTGTGCTGCTTGTAAAAATAAAAATCTGACCTGTGGAACTGCTGGAACAGGTTCATGGGGATGAAAGTCAACAGGCTGTATTTGGTAGTGCGGATGGCATTGCCCTTGTAGCTTTTGGAGACGGCTTCGTACTCCTGCTGGTGGGGCCCGTGGCGGGCAAACACCGTTCTCCGCTTCCCGATGACTCTATGCGGGGAGCTGTGGGCGTCCAGTGAGCTTTTGTTGGGCAGCCCATCGGGGGAAGAGTACCAGCCTCGCCCCGAGTCTCCTGCCAGCAGCTGCCGACAGCGATGCTGCACCCAGTGGAGCCGCTCCATCTACGCGGCAGAGGCGCTAGCTGACCTGCGAGAGTTCACAATGTCCTCATCCTGCAGAGAGAAAAACACAAAATCATTAAGGGGCTTGTTATCCATGCTGTCTGCAAGTTCCAAGGATCAGTCTGATGTTCTATATGTTTGTAATTGTCAACAAATCCCATAAAAAGACCCAAACCAACAATGTTTTAGTCTGTCTTTATTATTATATTATTCACAATTAACATTCAGAAGTTGGTTTACAGTATTTATGTTCACAATCCAATTATGCAGGTACAGCGTTGTGTTTCTGTATGAGAGTGTTGTAGTGTTCCCCATGATACACTATAGATATACTGTGAGAACTAGAGATAAAGTCCTGTCTGGCTGTCCCTGAGCAGTGCCTGTGGCAGCCAGACTGCACAGAGAACTCTGCATCCTGTTTGTGTATCCTGTGCACATCAGTGATTAGCTGTGTTTCGATCCAAATGTATCGCAAATTTTAGACAAATTTTGAGTAATTCAGCAGAAGAAAAAAAAAACCTGGAAAACAAACTAATATCCCGGGAGAACAGTGACAAATTTGAAACTGTGTTGGAGAAACACTGCAAAAAGACTTCAAAGCTTATTTTACTTCTGTTTAAATATGAAATATGACTTTCACACTACCTAACCATGACTATATTTTAACCATAACTTATTTGCCATAGAAGTAATCTTTACTTATAGCCAAAACCATACTGTGGTTTCCATGCAGATAATGTGTATAAAAAATTGGGTTGGGGCTGGATGTTAAAAAAATTTTGTTATCAACATTGTACCTGGAAATAAGGTTACAAAGACAAAGAATGGTGGTGAACACAGTAAAGGTTGGAGAGAAACTTTCTTCCAAATGATTCATCCATGTCAAGTCTTTTGAACAACCCACAGACCATGTCAGTGTAACCCTGCCTTGTTTACAACACAAACCCAGAGGGGAACGCAACACAGAGGGGCTGATGTTTGAGCATGTGATGCAGCAGGCCTCCAGTAATTCTGGAATAAAACATTTTCCGACATGTTTCCACAACTGCTTATGTCTTGTTTACGAAGCCCTTAGGCAGAGGAAGTAGGAACTGTAGCAACAGGACGGGACATGTGAGTGGCCTTACATAGAGACACCTGACCTAACAATGCTTTATTCTAATGAGCTGTCTAACATTACACCGACACAAAAGCAGGTATACTGCATGGTTTGGTCATCGCTAAGTGACAGCCAAACTTACATTTACAAAGTCTTACACATTGTTTTGCCACTAGGGTGGCATTGGAAAATCAGCTCCTCCTAAACAGTCTGAAAGCTTTTCTCTCACCGTGATGTACTGAC